GGATACGGTGGGGGGGGGGGGGGGGAGGGGGGGGTAAGGCATAGGCAAATCCTCCTCACCGTCTCAGGGCAAATTTGACCCCTTTGCAGGCGGCAAAGCCTACAACGGCACCATACACAACCGACAGAAAGACAATGTACAAGTGACGCAGGAGCCGATGACGAGGGCGGCGAGTAGGGTGATTTTTGGAACAGTCGCAAGCATGCAAACAATTGTGCAGAGCCACATGATTGTCATGATGGGCAGGAGACACATGGCCATTTCCTTCCAGGGGGTAAGGTTGTACTTGGCTGGGAGTTGGTAGCCGGCGATTACCAGTTGGAGACCGATCATTACTCTGGCCACGCCCTAATGTTCACTTGTTAGATGCCACGTTCATCCTTGCCTCGGATAGTGAAGTGCTCGGTATCTGTTTCTTTTCCTCACATACAAGAGTAATGGCTTCAGTCTGTCCCGGAGTTTTCGATCCCCATCTCTCACTGTTTATGAACTTGGCGGCTATAGGACCTAGTAAGACTCCAATTGCCACAGCTGGAACTGCGCGTCCGCCTAGTCAGCAGATACGGTCATGCTCTTGTTCCATCGTGTGCTCGACGTACGTGCTTCACCCAAGTACCACCTGGCCTTGATTTTGACAGATATAAGGCCGTAGAGCACAATAAAGGTTCCTGGACAACATAGTCAGCAGCAAAATAACGCCCCCTGCTTGGTATATCGCACCTAGAACCCCCAACACAATGTTGAGTTCTCTCACGTCAAGAGACGGCATGATTGCAAGGAAAATGCAAAGGCTCGAGAATGCGAAATGGACAGAAATCTAGGTACAATGACTCTTCACTTTGACCAGCAAAGAAAGGAGTCTCTATTGAAGGGAGGGGGGAAAAAAGACGGATCAACGTTGCGAATGTCAAGACCAGCACTAGTGAGACCCCAAGAAAAGAAAGACGCGTAAACGCCGAGGAAGAACTGAGAGTGTGTTCTTAGGCTGAAAGCTCATGTTATTGGCTTCCCATCTCGACTTATGCAGTACTAGCTGGAAAAACATGCGTTGAAAGGTAACAAAAATAAAAATAAAAAGAAACGCAGAAAAGAGGCTGTCTTGAAGCCTTACGTTTAGGTGCGGTCAGACTGAAGGCTTTTGTTCGTCAAGGCAACCTGGGAAAGCTGGCGCTTTTACTCTGTATATTTCCCCGGGGAAAAGCCACAGAGTTTGAGGTTAGAGGACAGCCTGACACGAACCTGTTTGACCGACCCGGCAAAGAGAACAAATCAAGCAAGTATCAGCAAAATTGGGGCAACAGCATATGTGGGGAGCGGTTTAAATCAGGCCGGCATGACGTAGGGCTCTACCGATAGTTCGAAATGTAAATGTTTCCGGTCTGCAGAAGCCGGCGCAGGAAACGTCTGGCCTGGGAGGGTTATGCCTACTTACAGATACGCGCGGCTAGGCTCGTTCAGCCTCAGGTCAATGACATTGAAAAAAAATGATGTTTTCTCTGTAAATTCTCCTTTTATGGGGTGGCAAGAGGTGTCCCGTCCAGGGACAAGGAGCTCTTATGCCAAGCGCCTTGTATGTTGATCAAGGGGTGTGAGTGCGAAGGTGGAGTTGAAAGAGGGATAGTTATGCAGTGGTTTCGCGGTAATGACAGTAGCCAGTAATGAGCTTTCGCCGAGGGAGAAACTCAAGGCACAAGTCTTGTCAGCGGCTCTTTGTTGTACCACAATGCTGGTTCGAAATGTTCATGAATTTTGACCGTTTTAATAGCATACAGGAACTCAAATGTATTGGGTACAAGGCATATCAAAGTACGGAAGCTATACGACGCTCGAAGTAAAAAAATACAGCGATCATGCACACATTACCCGCAGCAACGCCGTTCCGACCCAACCTCGCCTACATGTAACAACCCGGCTAGTCGATGATGGCTTATTGGCATGTATCAAGAGCCGTACGAAGTGTCCTCGGCGCACACTGAATCGCCAAAAACGGCATGGAGGACTCCGTGAAAGTGCTGCGTGATATCAACATGCGTTATCATACTTGATAAGAGTCTCATCACCCGTCATCGTCGAGCTCTCCTCGTAAGAACGGCCGAGGTGGAGCCGGGTTCAACGACGTGCCGAACTTCCAAATTGGGAAGTTGACACGGCTCCGCCTCCGGAGTCCGGACACACCGACCGGCCGAGTACACGGCCACAGACGCCGCAAAACACAGAGTGGCGGATGGGACAGCCTATCAGGGACAAACGGCAGTTAAGAGACAAGTTTGGTGCAATCCTGTCGAGCTCGAGAAATCATGGCAAGAGAGTTACAGATTGCGAGACGCCTTCTTTTTAGCGCGGCGACGCATCTCTCGGATGGGGTATCTGAAGCTACTAATCACTTGGCGTCTGGGATTCTCCCTGTTTAGCCCCAGACAAGACCAGCAACCCCTGGTATCTAGATTTCCTTGGCGAGCTATATGGATATATATTAGCCTGGAGTAGTTTTGGCTTTGAAATAAGCATAATAACAGTCCGAGCATGGCCCAGGTTGAGTAACGCCACTCGATGCCATATCGGCCTACTCACACCTGGTCTCCATACACAGCTTGAACTGGAGCCATTTTGGCAGCCTGCTGGCCTCTTACGGCAGCACTCTGTACAGACCGGTTAAGCAAAATGGTCACGTCAGTGTGACATGCGTGTCTCAGGGATAGCGTGCTATGCATTGAAATGTAGCTTGCCGGCTTGTAATCATTTCAACAATTTTCAAGCCTATCGGAAATGTCGGCAGTTTGTCGCCCTGTTAAAATGCAAGCCGAAGCCGGGCAGTCATGATGGCTAAGGGCTCTTGGCCAATGCAAATGCTGGCATGACAAACATGTGATGCTCCAAACTAACTCGGCGGTAACATACGACGGGCTTTTATCGGATATTTGCCCTGAGATCTTCTCGTCTGGTGAGCCGTCCGTTGCGACCCCGTTGCCGTCCATGATCACCGCTTGTGGCTCCTCTCCTCTTGGCTTCCCGAAATAATTGCGATTGACGGCAATTTGACTAGTCTATGTATTGATCTCCTCCTCCATCTCACGTTGTGCTACAAAAAACGACATGAAGAAAGAACCTAAAGTGCTCACTATACGCAGCGTGCGTCCGAACTAAAAGAGCACATGTTTTGCCTTTGCCCCAAAGTAGCAAGAGTTCAGCCATTGGAAATGCCACTCTCGGAGTCGTCCGAAGCCGCGAAATGGAGCTTGGAGATTGCTGTGAAACGCTTCGTGTGGGAGGATGCGCGATCTACCCGGTCCCACGATTTTGTCACAGTTTGCTATTTTTTGGGTGCGCTTTTGTATCTTTGAATCCTCATTTGTTGAATGGCAGTATATGCCAGAGGGCTCTCGTCTGCAGGGAGGGCAAGGAGTCAGTTGCGGTTAGTCAACCCCTAGAATCTAAACGCCCTCAAGAATCTTGGCTTGTTTCTAACGGTATGTAATGCCACCGACATGACAATTACGAAGAGTTTCTTGATTGAACAAATAGTCAAACAGATCGCATTTCTTGGCACAAGAGTGTCGCAACTGAAATCCAATTACGCGCCAGGCTGCAATGGAGACGGCCAATTCACGAAGCACAACTAACGCCCAGCAGAATCCAAACGCAGATGACTTCTCCCTCAGAACGCACAGGCGACTGAGCCGGCACATGGGTTTAATGGCTCTACTTCTTGCGCTTAAAAGGGATCATTCAGTCTGGTTTCAGCTTGCGAGACGAAGAATGGCCGTGCTGGGTGATCACGCAACTTTTGCTTTTGATTTTTTCCCCGGCGGTTAGTTCCGCCTTTGCTAACTACGTTAATAACTCCAGGTTGGCTGCTCAATATACCGGCTGGCCAGTGCTGCAGTTTAACCTGTCACCAGGCGCCCTGATGCGAAAAGGAGCGATGACATTCGCCAACTCAGCAATAAAGTAGTCATGACACTGAGATTATAATTACATTTCTCGTTCTGAATGGTTTTCTTCGTGGCTTCATTGCGGTAAATGGTCCCTCCTAACCCACAGTTGTGGCCTCCAAAGAACACCGCAATGTCTACTCCGTAGTTGATCCTCGACGCCCATGAGCGGCCACCAGTCCCGGGGACATCGGCGACGTAAGCCTGATCCAGGCAAATTCTCACCGCAGATACGTCCTTCCCGAAGCACACGGTGGCTCCGAGGCCGGCGGGCCAGGCTGACTTGCTCCCCAGAGCCACAAGGCTAAGCCAACCTCGCTTTGGAAAATAAAAACGCAGGCAAAGTCTAAACCTCTCCGATAAGCTTCGACTTCAGGGCCATCAAGGTCATGTGCGTGATGATTATATCCAAATAGGAAAAAAAGAGGTTGAGAGGTTGACATTCGAAGCGACGCTCTGTGAGCCTTGATTAGTACCCACCGAATGCCAAAAGGATCAGATGATAGATTCAGTGCCATGAAGCGCTACACTTCTAGAAATACATAGTCTTGTTTACTCAAGGTGAAATCTCGACATCTTTCTCATGTAGTCAACTTGCGAGAAAGCACTCTTGCAAAACATACATACCACCATGTTCTTGTGTTTCTGTATACACACGCCAGATTCGTGGGCCGTAGGAAGCCGCCAATCTTCATTTTCGTGAGTACCGTCGTTGTATACAACGCCGAAAATATTCATAAGTCGGTGCTGGCGCCTATATATACAGGAAAAATCTCCCCGGGCCACTTCAACAACTGTGGGAAAGGCTAGGGAATATCCACGCAGATCACAAGCAGGCAGGGACTCTCATATCGTGGATTTCAACCTCTCCAGATGGCTCATATGCCGTCATGACCACCGGGGGCGAATGTCAGTTATACCAGTTGACCTTTCTACACAAAAGTCCTCTGTATCGCAAGCTGACAACCAGTCGACATAGTATTATCAAATCGACACGATCTCCTCATCGCAGCACAGCCCCCATCCTCAGTAGACCACATTGGTTCTCACCAGAAGGAGGCTGGTTCATCCGCTTTACCGATTCCAGCGTTCAAATCTCGCCTAGGAAGAGGTTCTCGAGAGCCTTTCGCGACATGGCAGACGACCACCTCGATGCGTATTCCTCATCCCGACAGTCGGGCCGAAAAGCTAGAAGCGTTCTTTTCGGCAGCAACGGCGGCTTCATATTGAATGAAGACAAGGGCATAGAATACCATCTGGTGTCCGATGCCGTCAAGTTGCATCTTAAAGAGGCAAAGTCTAGCGGGGATTCGTTGGGAAAAGCCTTTATCTTGTGTCCCTGGAACAAGGATTACCACTTCTTGCAAATAACATCTGCCTCGGGCCTCTTAGTTACATATACGAACTTCCCCGAATATACCCCCTGATCTCATCAGAGGGCTTCTAGGGGAGTGGTGAACCACAAGGAGCCGAAAACTGCGGGATGTCGGGAGGTATCAGGCAGTCATTCCCGGACAATCTTTCATCTCCTCCGCCAACCACACGAATCCCACCAGAGACAAGAGCACGATATCAAAACGTCTTCTACGAAAACATTGAAAGCAGGCTCTATCTTACTGGTATGGAAGCCTCCGTCATTTTTGGCAGTCCAGTCTAAGTAAGGCCCAATTATCAAGGATTTAGGAAAAGAGCGATCTGAACAAGGACGGACGATCTGACATGAAGGAATTCATACAAGCTATGTGGCTGATCGAGCTTGACAGCAACGGCTCCCTTCAGCCGGCTTCTAGGCATGCAAATCTTGCACAACCCCAATCTCGACCAGCTTCGCATCACT